AGGTGGAGGTTTTTTACCAGAATTTATAGACCATTTTCACTTGAAACCAGCATGGTGCACTTAAGAACCGGTCAAGAATCTTGGGTAGCTATACCATCTTGATCCGAATGATGCAACCCAATAAATTCAACCATAGTTATGTTGGTGTTTAGAGGGGTTATAAATGGATGGGTGTTACCGTACAGATATAAATTATCATCCAATTGATAGTTCTAAATCAACATCAATTTTACATTTTGGTGCTTTGATCCTGCTTAAAGTATTGTTTAGAGATGCTGTACAGTAATAGTTTAAAAAAAAAAATTCACGCATAGACATGAGCAGGCATGACCTGACAATGCATGGTCATCCCTTAAATAATAAGGTAAGCAGGTGTATTTCAATGCAGGGGTAGGGACAAGGATAGGCCAGTGCAAGCTTATCAGGGGGGATCAAACAGAATTTGTAACAGATTTTCACCATGAGATCATTATCCAGTCCATGTCATTTCATGCCCATAGGTAACTTTTTAGTTAAAACTGTAAGTTGTTTCCTCCTTATAACACTGTAGGTTTGTTGGGCCACTCAGTATCCGTGAGGACCCTAACATGTACTTGATCTGTTCGACTGGCGAGTCTACTCCACCAGCGCTATCTGTCATTTAGTTTAAAACTTGAGCTCTGCCTTTCCCAATACATTCTGTAACTTCTTGCATTGCATGCTGTAGGCTGTAACTATATGCTCCCACTGTCTTTGCAAATGTGTCCTGTTATGTCGAAAATCAATAAACATCTTTGATTTAAAGCTGTAAGTTGTATCTGATGTTCCATAAGCTAAAAAACTCAGTGCTTCTATTCATTCTGCTTATTAAAAACTATGGATATAAATGTGGGCACACTTGTACAGAAATTAGAGAATTTTGTGTTCCTTTCCTGGGCACTCTTCTTGCCTACGATTTGGAGGCAATGTAGGCCACATGTAGGGGGGGGCTCTCTGACATTCATGGACAACAGGAACGCAGATGTATGTATAAAGCATACACTGCACCTAGACCCATTATTCAATCTTGCGTTTAAACGTTTTTTTGTTCTGATTTTGAAACCTTTGTTGTTAAGTCCTCCTTTTACCTAAGTCAGTTCATAAAAATGATTCAATCTGGGTATTGTGGGCCTTTTAAGGTAAAAGTATGCAAAGTATTTCCATCCAGAAATAAACATTTGAAATGCTTTACATGATATGTTTAGAATGTTAATGGCTTAATTGCATTTTTGTTATATATTGACAGGATGACATTTCAATACCATCAGGAAATAGTACTGATAGTGTTCCCATTCCGCTGCCAAGAAAGGTAAGGTAGAGAGAGATGGAAATATTTATTGTTTTATGCATGTCAAGTAGTAAAGAAAAACATGTTTACTGCATACAAAGGAGGGCCAGTGTTTTAAAGTATATCTAAACCCAAGAACAAGAATGTAATCTATTGTAGTTGAATTAGTTTTCTTTTCTCAGGCTTTTTCGGCAAGTACTGAAAAATACCTGTTAATCCTGCCAGAATTCTATGTCCTTGTAAATTCTTGTGCGTTGAACTGATATCTCAAGCAATGTTATCAGCTTTCCTGTGAACTACAAATCGCCTCTT